TAGCCAGCTGTGTGGGGAATATAAAATGTGGACAATGTTTTTAGACAGCTATTGCTGTCACTCTTCATATTAGGGCTGTACCCGAATATCCGAATATTCGTTCGTTGGAGTACTATTCGAGTTTCAATTTCGTTATTCGGATATTCGTGCACTGCGGCTGCCAAATTTAACTTATTGAAAACTCCTATATCAACGTAAGAGCTTGTGCCTATTCGGGGGGTGCTAACACTTAACCATAAAGGTTATCGTTTACTTTCTCCGTCTTTATATGTAGATATGACTTTTCTCCATTAATCTCCGTCATGTTGTTTCCATAGCAACAACAACTTCCTGTCAACAGCGCTAACTCTCGTTCAAAATAAAAGCATTGGCTTCCAAATAGGAAGCCAAGCCAAATTACACTTAAGACATATACAACTGCAATGAAAGTAACAAACACAATGCAATATCCTTTTCAATTTCAAAGAACACAAATTGGGTTATATACATTAACAAATAACTATAAAACAACAATACTGTAGAATAACAAAATGAATGCCGTGAATAAAACCGAAATACACGTTTATACGCACCCCCCGCGCGCGGGCGGAATATTCGCTGCTGATTACTACCGAATATCCGGAGCCCGAAAAATGGTATTCGGGACAGCCCTACTTCATATGGGTATGCAGTCCAGAAGAGAATCCATGAGAATAAGCCAATGACTTTGCCCTCCAGTTTTGTCGTTCAGAACAGCTATTAAAACATTTTTACTTAGTGAAAAACTGTTATAATCTAGTAAAACCAGGGCATCAGTCAATATGGTTAGAGCTAAATATAGAACCAGTAATGAAGTCATTCATATTGGTTGTTATGAGGCAACAGTACTTGAGAGTTTGAATGTCTCCAACTGTGTTTGTACTTGAGGCAGGATGATAATAAGCCTCGTCACTGGGAGTCAAGTATGTAGTGCAACTGCTGTGCCTGATTAGAACAATTAAAAGGGATATGAAGCTGTTTGTTTGCATCTGTAATGAGTTTGGTTTCAAAACACAAGCATAGATGCATGTGATAGAAGAGTGTGAGAACAAGCCATCCTCCTTCACTAAATAATTATGTCAACCATCTCAAAGATGGCATCAGATTCACTGTCCAACACGGTGTAACAATCCCCAAGACTCATGTCTCACACCTCCTGCAGTTGAAAGAAATGTGTCAGGGAGAGCAGCACAGTTTCTGACACACCAGCACAACACACTCTCCAAGCCTTTCATTTCCAGGCCAGACTTTAAAAGAAGAGGCAATTTTTACAATCACGAAATAAGATGCTCACACGAAGAAGCAATAACAGTGTTGGTGTGTGAACTAAAGCAGCTACAATTAATTGTGTACACTATATAGAGGCTGATTAATTATCTCTCTAGAGTGTAAGTAGAACTATTTGTTGTGGAGCTTTGCAGATATGTGTGGTATTGTGTGGTCTTGCACAAACTGAATTCGCCAAAAACGGCTAAGTGCGGAAATTGCGGGACGCACTCTCCAAAGTGCTAGTTTCTCAAAGAGCTTATTGTCTTCTCATGTGTTGTGAATTATTAAATGGGTGACCCATAGTCTCTTGTCTTAGAGGGGTTGGTAGAGCAGTGGAACAGAAAACAGTGACACTGCAAAGTTGTTGCGGTTTCTCTTGAACGCCACATCTTAAATTAAAAGGGATGGAGCTGCAGGGAGCTTTGTCCGATCCACGGAGAGAGCTTTGCTTACAGAAGACAAATAAACATACCCAGATTTAATTAGAGCTGAACAAAAAAGAATATGGGATTTTAGAAATGGAGATCAAACGGAGTGTTATCTTCGAGGGAAGTGGAAAGAAACAAAACCAAAATTGGATTATACATGACATGCTTACACATTCCAATTCAATAGAGCTGCATATAACGTGCTTGTAATAAATCAATTAATCATGTAATCTATCAAATGTAAAAGCATAAGGCAAATTAAGTAGAAGTTACCATTAGAACAAAATGGACACCAAGTATAAAAATTTAAAATACTGTTTTTTAGGGCTGAACGATTAATCGATTTTAAATCGAAATCGCGATTTGAAATGATGCGATTATCAAATCGCAAAGCCTACGATTTTTTTGTAAACTTTTTTTTAAACTTTTTTTTTCTTCTTGTGTGTCAGTCATCCACACCAATTAGAAGTGCTGTGCTCCACATGTACCAGCCATTGTTAACCAATCAGAAGTGGCCCATGATAGAAGGTGATAGACACCTGCCAAGTATTTTTGAAAGTGCCTGCCCTTTCCAAATGGCTTCCAATGGAGCTTTCCTAGATGGTTTGGTGAAACAAACCATCTGAGTCAGGTTAGTAATGCTCCATCACATGTTTTACATCTATTACAGGGTGAGTCTTAAACTGAAGCTTGACTTTAAAGCAACCCAACAGAAGTTTCATGTAAGTTTAGTTATTTCACTCGAAATATCAAATGCAAATCGAATCGCAATCGCAATATCTGTCAGAAAAATCGCAATTAGATTATTTTCCTAAATCGTGCAGCCCTACTGGTTTTACTGAAAAGTGTTTGATTAAATATTAGAGATATATATATATATATATATATATATATATATATATATATATATATATATATATATATATATATATATATATATATATATATATATATATATATATATATATATATATATATATATATATACATATATACATATATATATATATACTGATGAATTCATGGGTAAGCAGTATTTTGCTGTTGGAAGTGGACATCGTTTAAACAGCTGTATACAGTTACAGCAAATAGTGTAGCCAAGTGGTACCTGAACTATAGGGCCACCGTAAAGGGTCAGCCATTAAATCTAAGGGGTCATTTTTTTTACTTTGGAGTGAATCTTAATTTTTTTATGAAATATTGGATATTTTTTCACCTTAATGTGTGTGGAATAGTCATTTAGATGACACAATGTCAAATTAGAGGGAATGGTTTCTTTGGTGAAGCTGCTAACAGCCTAAAGACATCTGAAACACATCAAGGGGCCACGACAATGTTTCGGTGAAGGGTTACAAGCCAAAAACATGCTGTTGAATTGTTTTTTAGAATAATTTTTTTTCCTTTCTAGAAAATTATCTGAAATGTAGTGGCTTAAAAGTAAAACGTAGCAGACAATGGAAACACTCAAGTAGAGTTGAAGTACCTGAAGATACATACTTCAGTCAATGCGCTTAGTAACTTTCCACACTGAATGATTTCTGACCTAATTCTACATTTCTCTGAGAGGCAGATCAACGTCTTCAAAGAGACAGTATTTCAAAGTATTGTATTTCAGTCACAGTAGGGCTGTGCAGAATGTTTTGGCTGCTCTAGCAAAATCTGATGCGACCTTGTGTGTTTAGAAGTGCAGCTTTTACAGACACATTAGTTTTAGCGGCTTCAGGGGATAGAGACATGGCTCATTATTCATCTCTCTCCATGACACGAGTCAGTGAATTACGATTGAAGACACCGAGTTGTCCTATAGCTACTTGAACTGCTCAAGTCACAAATTGCATTGATGCTGTATTTCACGCTTTGCGTTTGCATTTCTGCAGCAATGACAGAAGACAAAGAGCTTTCAATAATTTTACTGCTGCTAATCTTAAAGGTCCCATGTCATGGCCATTTCTACTGATCATAATTCCATTGTTGAGGTATACTAAAATAGATTTATATTGTGCAATTTTCCAAACAGCTTGTTGGAGCTCCTGCCCCGCCCTCCCTATGAGCCCAGTGGCCGTCTGCGAGACAGCGAGACACAGCGAAACCCAGCCCGAAACCAGCCCGAACACACACACACACACACACCCGCAGCCTGGCTGGGAGTTTGTGTGTGTGCTCACACACCGACTCACAGCCTCGAAAAAAAAAAATGTTATCGAAAAATGTCGGAACACATCGATTTCAGCTTCTCAAATAAGAAATGTCCTGCTTTTCTCCATCATAAGAGTCAAAATGCTTGGTCTTTTGACAAAAAAAAAAACGTGGGGTAGACATTTTTAACAATTTTCTGACCAAGCAATTAATAGAGAAAAATACCCGTCAAATTAATGGTTAATCAAGATAATCGTTAGTTGTAGGCCTATGTTACAGCAATGGCTGTGAATTTATCTAAAATAGTGAGATAAAGACAATCGTGTGTTCATTAACAGTTATTATGTCCAAAACAAATACTGTTAAAATACTAAGCCACTGTGTCTATTCAACGGTGTTAGCCTCGGTATAAAGACGAGAAAGGGACGAAGAAATGTCTATTCAGCTCTGGAACAAAATGTGCATCTGCAGGCAGCCTCAGCACCTGCCTTCCTCTTTACTGCTTTGAAAGAAGACTCTCAAGAGACGCATTAATGAAACTATACAGAGGGAAATGCTGCTGAAGGATGGCAGTTATATAGCTGCTGCTGTTGTGCTCGCTGTATTTCATTATAGACCACTTCCAGCTTTGAAACAGGTGGCAATCTCTTCTACACCTGTAAATCAGGACTACAAACAAGCTAAAAACATCAGACCTCCAGGGGAGCTTGTGAGGCTTTCAGGTGGTTCTCAGGTAAAATATTGATCATGAGGGAGGGACCCTGGAATACAAATAAGCAAACCGGAGTTAAGCACTTTCACAAGTCTATTTGTGGGTCCTCAAAGGGGGAAAACACAAGTGATGCAAATATTGTTCTGCTTACTGCTTTAATCTCCAGAACATAAATAGCTCCTGGCAAACACAACATGACAGCTCACTATTCTACATCTCAGGACCAGGTTCAGGTCAAACAGCATCCAACAATGTGTGAAATGTGTATTAAAAAGTCCTGTCATGGCAGTCAGAGATGAATAACCTGCTTTAGGGTAGGTATGCAGGAGTGCCACAGTGGCATACCAATCATACCTGCATGGGCAAACACACTGGACTGGAAAACCTTTTGAGAGCTAAAGTCCCCCTCCATGCATTTGACACCCCTTCCAACATACCTCTCATTGGATTCTGGATCCACAAGATGCCCCCGATAAGGTGAGGAGATTGACCGAGCATCCCGAGTCACTTTTCCCACCTCTACTGTCTGGAGCGAGCACCTTAGAGCCGTTTACTGACCATCACGGGCAGAAGAGGATGACTTCCCCGGTGCACATGTCACACCACCTGCTGCCAGAGGAGCAGCCTCAACCGGACTGGTCTTGTGGTGGAACAAGCTGAGCGCACGATTATTATCTATAAGACAAATGCTCATAAAGAGGCTCCAGGGGCTTCAGTATCTTCCAGAGAACAGTGTGCACGCTCCTCGGTCACAGACCTGTTAACCATTGGTGTTTGTCTCCAACACTTACGACCAGCGCGCACACACTCAGTAACAATATAAATACAGAAAGAGGCTGCGCGTTAACACTAGGTTTTATGGTGCACCATTAGAGTGAATACCAGCGGTGTATCATTTTAATTATACAGTGTAATAAAAGGAGAAGACAGTGTTCGTAATGCGGCTGCAACATCACCTAAACACAGGCGTGCACAGCACAGGTGAACCTACTGTGTCTGTGTTGAGCCGTGTTACACCGTAAAACAGCTGCTAATTATCACGGTAACTACACCTGTTTGTCTGTTTCAAACGAACACAAAACGGAAGTGGTGTCGTAGGCAGGACACGGTGAAGCAGTCTTACCTTCGACAGCCATAGCGCTGCTACTCCACAGAGAAATGTAAAAGTGAACGCTCTCGCATTGTACCTTGTTTGGCGTGTTATCATCACTTTGCTGCGGGCAAGCCGGAGCACACACAGCTGCTGCCGCCGCGCCTCAAAGCATCCTGGGAAGTGGAGGCACAGCGCTTTCTAGGATTTGAGGGAAAGCAAGCTTCATCAGTTTTGAAGGCAGAGCAGTTTGGAAGCACATCTTTCTGTATCCCTCACACAAAGACACACTAATGGAAAATCCTCACAATAAAGTACACAAAATGTCTCTATTTGTGAGCTAAAGGCAAGCAAATAGCATGAACATGAACGCCGGTTTGATACACCTAGTACTATTTAAGCAGGTTATTTGAGAAACCAGCCGAAATTAACCAGAATATCACCAGATCTGGATCATATTCTAGCCAGACAGTGTAAGAAAACTACCACTTAATGTTCAACATCTTGGAAAATAAGAGCTGTAATAGAAGACCAATGCAACTGTGTTTGTGCAGTATGAAGCTGGAGTCAACAGCTGATTAGCATAGCTTAGCACGAAGACTGGGAACAGGTGGGAAAAATAGGAAACAGCTATGCTGGCTATGTTGAAGGAAACATTAAATCACCTCCCAGAAACTCTAAAGCTTGCTTATCAAAGGGTTGTTATCTTGCTTCAAGTATTTATCTACAGGGCATAGTGTAACATCATGAAACCTGTCTGCCATTATCTGGAAGTTCCCGAATGCATATTAAGATTTGTTGATGAACATGTTGTTTGCAACCCGCTTGCTGCAAGCAATACAATTGCTTCTTTTTTACAATGACTACATCTTAATGTGCATACAATAAATATGAGGTCATAAAACTGACAGCTGCAGTAGAGCTTGTAAATCTTCTTTAGTATGTGTATTGAACTGAGCAACATGACACACCTATAAGAAAGGAAACAAACTTTAATTAAACATGCACCTTCCTGTCAGTTGATTTTATTATTGTGTGTGTTATCTGTCTATGTGCGATGTTGCTGACACTGAAGGTCAGCACAAATATGAGCTTTACCAAAAACAAACTAAATGCATTTAGGTCAGATTACATTGAAGTGAAAGTGTGAGTGAGCACGAAGAAGAACCTTTTGCAGGTTAGCAATCGATAAAATATTCCCTAAGACTTGCATCACAGGTGTTGCAGGGAAAACACAACTGTTATACAGCAGTTGTGATTGCATGTATTTTATCTGATAAACAGATAATGAAGGTATGCAGGAGTCTGTTGTGTTGCCACATTTCTTGTGTACTTAAGCTTACCGGCAGGTGTGTCTGTCGGTAATACATCTATGTTCTTCCTGGTTTCTGTTTTTTTTTTTTTAAAGCTTTGCTCAGCCTGTCTGAGGGGTTTTCTGACTTTGATTGATTACATCACATAGAAAGTATATGTGTGTGTGTGTGTGTGTGTGTGTGTGTGTGTGTGTGTGTGTGTGTGTGTGTGTGTGTGTGTGTGTGTGTGTGTGTGTGTGTGTGTGTGTGTGTGTGTGTGTGTGTGTGTGTGTGTGTGTGTGTGTGCGTGCGTGTGTGTGTGTGTGTGTGTGTGTGTGTGTGTGTGTGTGTGTGTGTGAAATAGTTTTTTAAAGAGAAAAAGGTAGAAGAAAAAGAAATATATATTTATACGTTTTTTATTGCAGACAGTGAGCACAGTGACCATCCAAATGGCAAATTCTTATAATATACCATTATGTCACAATGTAATTCTGTCAAATTTATAATAATAATAATGATGATCAATTGTCTTTAAGAGGTTTTATATTTTGAAGGGTTGGTGGCAGTGTTGGAAGTCTTGATTGATGAAGAGATAGCATGCCATCATCAAGTTGAAGTCATGCAACTATTTTATAACTATAGCAAGTATATTTATCTTAGCCATTCCAAAAAGTCTTAACAGGCAATGAGCAGAAACCCAAGGGAGTCACTACACCCAGCTAAGAAATATCTAATGCATGACTTATACAAACTCCTCCTTATAACTTCTAAAAATGTGTTTGCATGCTATCTCGTTCCCTCTGCCTTTAGTCTTTATGCTAAGCTAATCATCAGATCAACTCAACTCTATATGCATGGGCAGACATAGAGTTGTAGTATCAATCTTCTAATTTAATCCTCTGGATGAAGAAATAGGATGAATGCATGTTTTAAAATGTCCCACTGTTCCTTCAAGCGGAATAGACAATTCCTGTTAAAAACGTTTAGAGATAAGTTGTGTATTTCCTGATCTGAAGCCACTTTAACCGCATTTATCCTAAATAAGTATTATGAGTATTGAAAAACACAATATGTCAGCAGCTTTCATGTACAGAGATCATTTTGTATAAACTAATACATATTTCCAACAATGACAAGAGCATGATGTGTACAAATGCTATGCCGAAAATAAATCAAAGTTACATTTCATCAAGCCTCAACCCATACATTCATCAGAACAAAGAGTTAACAATAAAAGATGTTTCTAGCTAAATAAAGAACAGCACAAGTAAAAGTGCAAATGTGCAGATTTGCAGAAATGTTGCACCGCAGAACAGACTAATTACATTTGGAAATAAACCATAATTTCCATAGGTTTGGCCAAGTTGTTGGTTAAATGGTAGCATCTCCTCAGGCAAGCTCTACTTCTCAGTGCTCAGTGTGAGTAGCAGATGTATCAACTCGACCCCAGTGTGCTGCGATGGAGGTAATTGCTCCTAGGTTAGTGCCACTGATGAAGACCAGCTCGGCATCCTTGTGGCTGGGATACATGTTGAAAGAAGTGCCTGAGGGCTGGCCTGCTTCAAGAAGGCGGCCCTTGCTAGTTACGAACACCACTGACTGCACGTATTGACTGGCCTTCCCAGAAATCTGGATGATGGCTTCACCGCCAGACAACTTCATCTCCTGTAGCTGGCCGGACCTGTAACCCACAACGGAAGACCAGGTGGAGCCGTAGCAGAACTGGATGCTGATGAATGAAGTGTAACAATGCTCAGTTTAAAGTCCTGCATTCAAAGCCATACTCAGGTAAAAGTGCAAAAGCATCGTCATCAAAACATAGTTAAAGTAGCACAGGTAAAAAAATACTCATTATGCAGCATGTTCCATTTCAGAATCATATTCATTGATCGTTTTTAAGTTATTGATGCATCAATGTGATGATTACTTCAATATGGCACTTGGTAAAAGTGTGATTCATTTGATTTACTTTACATTCTACTGGGTTGCCAAACCTTTAATAAAATGGTTTTATTTTCTGTCACATTTAACTAAATCTGCAAAGGTTGCTAGTTATTAATGCAGTAAAATATATGCAACATAAATGGGAAAATACTCAATTGTAAAATTACAAAAGTACAAGTACCTTAAGTTATCAGGTTTGATCAGGTACTAAATTAAACAGGAACAAAATCATAAGGGAACTTCAAATGTTTAGTGTATATTATTGCAATAAATACCTGCCACCAGTGGATCAATACTATAGCATATCTGATGGTGTTTTTTACTCAGTGTTACATTATTTTTAATTAAAAAAATGCTCTTCAGTCCTTCCAAAATAATGATCTATAACATTTACCCTCGTATGTTGGACAACGACCACACTCGTACAGCTGTGATTCTTCCCTCCCCAATTATACTGAACGGAGAGCCACTCCCTGACCTCGCAGGAGGGGAGTAGGAGTAGCTCTGAGTCTCAGCTGAGACAAGGAGACAGACAAACATATTATGAATATGAATTCACCTTGTAAACTTGATTCATAAAGGATAATGCATTCATGGAAACTTACGGTCAGCTATAGCAGAGGCTGCAATAACAGCAAAGATAGCAAGAAAAAGCATTCTGAAAAGAAAGAGAAGAGTTATTTACCCTGCATCTTGTTGTTAATAATTATTATTGACTATAGACGGAGTCTCACCTGTCTGATTGGTTGTTTCTTCTTTTATCAAAAGATACCTGTAGCGGATAATACAGAAATATAAATACATATGTTCAGTCATTCTTCTTTACTTACATAATACATTTGGTTAGTGATGAGTGGAATTCAAAAAATAATACTTGCCGTTCAAGTGTGCATTACAGCAAATGAAGCCTCAGCATGTGTGCAGCTACACTCTCCTAATATCTACATTTGGAGTGGATACGATCATTTATAGTGCAACTGCATTCAGAAACAAAGCCTGAACAGTTTATTGGTCCTTGCCGAGTTATGACGTATCAGACAGGGAGGGAGGTGGGTGGGTATTTCTGTTGGCGGTTCGTCAGGTAATTCCTTACATTCAACATCTTCATAAGTGTAAATAGGATATGTGCCAAGTATGCTCTTGTTTTGGATCATGAATAAAAAAGGAAAATCAGCGTCACCCATGTTAAAGGTGGCTCTTTCAATGGACGTTGCATGCACAATAAAAACTAAATGCGAACAATACATAGTGTGTATACTTGGGGCGTAACAATAGAGTAAAAACCAAATGCATGGCCTTTCTCATATTCTATATGAAAACCTTAAAATAAATGATTTTAAATTGCATACACTTTTGGCTTGTGGACTATTTACGTCCTCCTTTTTCCCAGCCTTATAAACTAACATGTGAAACTAACAATATGAAGATGTTTCATTTGTTTACTTATTTTTCCTAAATTGGACAACTTTTGTCAATAAAAGAAAGCTCATACTGCAACCCCACAGGTGTCCCATTCCTGCAGAAAATGAGATGTAATCTGTCCCCTAACGTGAACAAACGCCTCGTCAATTCCGATAAATGTTCTCAGTGATCTTATAGGAAATGTTCTGAGTTACCTGAGATTACGTGTGACAACACCACCTAATGGAATTCTGTTTTGTTATCCACATACCTGTCTTCACTCACGAATGATCTTGAGTAACCTCATAACCTTTCAAGCTATGATTCACCATTCAATGATCCAGAGACATTCAATGAATGTATTATTGCAGAATACTGTCAATGTATTTAGAAATATATATATAATAAAGTATTTAAAGTAATGTGAAATCTGACAAAATGTACAATGTGATGCTCTGATAAGATGTGGTTAAATATTTCAAATTCATATGAGCAGTTATAAATATATAAAAATATAAATGTCCTGTATGTTAATTCTTATATTATACCAACCTTAATAACCAGATGAGAAAGTATTCCTGTTTTCCTCAGACAGTCACAGTCACACTTTGCATTAGTCATTACAGGCTCAGTCTAACAGGGCAGGATGTTTAAAAGTGCTGTGGTCTGCTCTGTTTCACTGCATTGTGCCCGGTACAGTTTAATGGCTGCTGAGCTCCAGGTATTAAGGCAATGAAACCCAATCCGTGTTTGGATTACTGTCCTGCACTGTACTGCAAAGCTGCTGGATATTTGGTACATTAATCCATATGCATATCAAGTATCTCTTCAACATAAGCAATAAAGAAAGTGCAATAGAGACCCAAATGAAAATCAATGGAAACTTAAGCAGCCAACAGCTAGAACTTCAAAAATTGCATGTATCTCAAACATATCCATGACAGCAGTAACTCAAAAAAAAGTCTTTAAAAATATCAGAAAGATATTCTTGATTATCTGACTCATCCGCCAAGCTTTGAGGTCTCCATCATTCCTTTGATACTGTTTTGCCAGGGTCCACTGAATAGACCTAGGTCAAATTGTCTTATAAATCCTCCTCTCAGCCCTGCTTAATAAGGACTGATGTTATTATACAAGTAACTGTAAGAGGATTTCCAGGACTATATTTTGACCCAGGTGTTGACCTCACACCATCAGAGAAATTATAACTCTCTCATCCTGGCCTTGCCACAGCCTCTCCCCTTCAAACGCCACCTTCCCGTGCTTCCTGGCTCTCATTAGAATCCCCACCACCTTATCAGAGATCCGAACATATCTGTCAAACAGCTGTCCAAACGTGACATGGGTCTTTCCGTCTGGATCCGGATCAGCCATAGTCCTGATCACATAACACATATCAGATATTTCACCGTGGATGTGTTGCTCGGCACGTTTGGCTCTCTCTGCGGTTTTGGTACCCTCCTTGGAGCGTCCATAACCTTCCTCGCCTTTTTGGAGGCGGAGGGACATGGAGTAATCATGATCGAAATATTCACTGAAGGGGTTCAGTTTCTGGTTAACGGTGTGCTCTGAAGCCCAGTTCTGCCAGCGGCTCTTGAGGTTTCCCACAGCCCTATATTTCTTGGAGAGGGCGTTGATCTTGTTGGGATCTTCCTTCTTGTACCTGTGTCGGATGTCAGATTATATTAAACACAACACAGTATATTTTGGACCAACTAAAGGCAAAGGGAGTTGAAATAGCCAATAGGAGAAAAAAAAGGTCTTAAAGGTCAATACGAATACAATATGGAAACTCTTCGGCTTTTGGTCCCGGTGTTACGATGGATAATCAGGGACAAGAATTCCTGTAATGCGCAATAGCCAATGGGTTCCGAGATTCAATTTCCGCAAATGCGCATTTGCTCTCCATACAACCAAAGAGTTCTCAAAAGTGATTGGTCAATACTAGGGTTGCAAAATTCCGGGAATTTTCAAAGATGGAAACTTTCCATGGGAATTAATGGGAATAAACGGGAATTAACGGGAATAAACGGGAATTTATGGGAATAAACTGGGAATTTTCTAAATTGAAGGTTGGCTCTTCATAGGGAACTTAAATATAGTTGGGGAAAGTATATTTTAGCATAATCTTGACTAAAACAAACAGATGCCATTCAAGTACACTTGAATATCCATGCCATAGCACACTGCTTACTGCATGGCTATTGAGACCACACCCCTACAGGCACTGTGCATTCCTCCATCACATGCACAGATGAGTAATATTTAACTCAACATTCCTGTTTTCGTTCTTCAATGAAACAAATAATTGTTCAATAAAATAATTCAAACTTGTTCTGTTCTACTTTAAAAAAAAAAAAATAATTTAAATTTAAAAAATCTGTTGAAATGTCATGTTTTTTGTTTAATTTTGCATCGAATATTTCCAAAATTCCCCAGCTTAACTTCCCATGGAAACTTTCCAGAAACTTTCCGCCCCTTTGCAACCCTAGTCAATACTGCTCACACTTCAAACAGAAACCACACTTTGGATACTAAAATCTTGTCCTGTTCCCTACTTTATAGAGTTATAATGTTGACCTAATTGACATGTTTTCAAATGACTTGATCATGAGATGCATTCAGGGTAGAGTACAAACCAGAATGATGACTGTACATATCCCAAAAAATTGTTCCTTCAAGAATTTCTCCATGAGTTCCCATTCTCAAGACCATGTTGCCTGCCTTTCCAAATAAACTGCAGTTTGAAACGAAAAAACTAATATATATTCATTTAAATCTTTATTTGACTTATTGTCATGGAAGAGGAACTGGATTTTTGAGAAAACGGCTACTTCCTGGAATACTTTCAGTCTAATCTGTGACCTTATGGTGCACAAATGGTAAAGTGAAGTCAACACAAATATTTCCACAGTCCTGGCTTTCTCCCCATCCTACCAATCAAGCCATGTTTCTATTTATGGTTTACACTTTAAATTGACACTTGACCTTCTCATGTCAATATTCAGTTTCTTAAGGAAAGATAGCATCAGGGATGTAAATACCATTTAATCTGACCTTTAAGAATTGAGAGTAAATGTAGGGCAGTATTTTTCAACATTTTAAATCTATTCTGTTCACAAAGAACTTCTTATTACTGGAAAAACGACATGAAACTCAGTGATCGTACTCACGTTGGGACTGAGGGTCTTTTAATCCTTATTGCTGACTCAGAGGCTCCTTCAGAGGGTTTTTGCTCTTCTTCTTTCAAAGGGTTCATCTTGTGTGAATGAGCATCCACTGTGTCCAGTGTCTCTTTCTCTGCCTCAGTATCAAATCAAATCAAATCAGGTTTTATTTATATAGCACATTTAAAAGCGATTTTTGGTCGAGCCAAAGTGCTGTACATGTAATAAAAACACATTACTACAATCACAATAATCGACAATAATTTTTTTTTAGTGTTTTTAGTTTAGATTTAAAAACCCCTAGGGTCTGGGCCGACCTCACATGGAGGGGCAGAGTGTTCCAGAGCCTAGGGCCAGCTGCTGCGAAGGCTCGGTGCCCTCGGGTTTTTAGCCTGGTCTTGGGCACTACCAGCAGCAGCTGGTCAGCAGACCTTAAAGCTCTGGCTGGGGTGTAGCGCTGGAGCAGTTCAGCTATATAGGCCGGAGCCAGCCCATTTACTGCTTTAAAAACAAATAAAAGGATTTTAAAATCAATTCTGAACCGAACTGGAAGCCAGTGTAGTGAGGCCAGAATAGGGGTGATGTGGTCACGCTTTTTGTGGCCAGTCAGCAAACTTGCAGCAGCGTTTTGGACTAGCTGTAGGCGTTTAATTGAGGCCTGGTCCATACCCACATACAGAGCGTTACAATAGTCCAGTCTCGAGGTTACAAAGGCGTTAATAACCCTTTCTAAGTCATTAAAAGATAAATACGACTTGGTTTTGGCCAATAGTCTTATTTAAAAAAAGCAGGATTTTACTACGGTGCTGACCTGCTTGTCGAATTTAAAAGTGCTAGTGAAGGTCACTCCAAGGTTCATGACCGAGGGGAGGATGTTTTTTTTTGATAGAGCCCAGAATATCAACCGGAGAGGCTGGAGGTTGCGGTCCAAAAAAGATGACCTCAGTCTTGCTCTCGTTGAGGTTGAGAACGTTTTTGCTCCATCACCAGCACAGGTGCGTCCTTCACCTGGCCCCCCTCCCTCTTTTCCAAGCTTCTGCTCACTCTCCACCTACTTCCAGCTCTTGGTCAGAGATGATACCACGTTGGAGCATTTCCTGCGGCGAGTAGGTGAGCTTTTCTTCTTCAGAAGCCTGTCGATCTCCTCTTCTGATGGCAGGGACTCTCTGTCAAAAGTCCAATGCCAGCACTTTTCTCCTGAATCCCGCTGGTCACTGTTTTCACCACTGGCTTCACCTTGATGCGAGATAGCGCCTCAGCTGTGGTGTTCACCTCCTCTGTTTTGGATGAATATTTGGCATCCTTGTGAGTAGTCTTTTGAGCTTCTCCAGAAGTAGTTTCATACTGTTGCAAAGCTTCTGTTGGCTGGATGACGGGATGA